TAAAGTGCCTTGAGATGACTTGTGTTGTGAATTGGCGCTATAGAAATAAACTGAATTGAATTGCTTTTCATTTATATTGCCAGGGTATTTCCGTACCTCACCAGAAGACAATGCTAGTGAATGAAGCCTGAGAATGAAATCTAAAAGGAATGAGCACTGATGCTAAAAATAGCTTGGATGAAAAACTAAAATGCTTCTTTTTTTTCTCACCCATAAAATACAACTGTCAGGTTTTCCTTGCATAGCTTGTTTGAATTTTAAATAACTTCAACAGCACTTTAAGCTGATAACATTATTTAGAAGAGTCTAATTAAACAAGCACCATTTTGTCCAACACAGGTTTTAAACCCCACCAGCATGTGCCAGGTTCCAAACATTGCTACGTTCTACTCATAAATCACTCTCTAACAGGGTCACACGGGGTCAGAATTGGACAGGATGGATGGATGTAGGTGTATGTGTGTGTACTTCCCCCTCTGTGGGGAGCGGAAATAGCTAAGTGACAGCTTTGGGAGGTCATTAGCACGCTACAATCTTATATTTCACATTGAGCTCAAGGCACATTACTTTATGCTGCCCGATCATTGATTTTTTTTTAGATTTACATCGAATGAATCTGAGTGTAAACTTGCATGTGTATACATTGAAGACTCAGAACGTGTGCTGCTAAGCTGATTGGAAAAGCCTTGGTAGGGGGGTGGGGGGATTAAATATCATCATTTCCCTCCTTACCTGCATGTTGCTTGGTGAAACCGCCTTCCTCTCAGGAAACACTTGTTTGGGGATTCATTACATTCACAGGAGCACTTTGTCTTGTTCAGGGGCTGGTGCCTCGGACATGTCTTATTACATGTGCACTGACAGGTCTCTTTGTTGAAGACGTGGTTCAGGGGGCAAGATGGAGCCCGCAACATGTTGCAAACGCATTTGCAAGTGTTTCTGTCCAGGTGTCGGTTAGGGCCACAGTCCTTTTTAAGGCGACATACGCATTGACAGCTTTCCACATCCAGCTCCTTATCTGCGCCACAGAAGTCTGATGAGAAGATGTCTGCAGAGATGCAAAGAGAGACACAAACAACAGCATAAGGTTCTGTTTCTCATTTATTACTGCTAATATTCACATTCTAAACTTAAAAGCATGGAAAAATAGCTGACATTTTAAAGGTAATGCGAGAAAAACTTTTTTTAAAGGGGCCCAGTAATGTAGTATGTCTTGAAGTTTCTACACCAGTTGCTTACTCTGGTCTCATAAGAGACTTTCTGCTTTAAATAGGGTGCTCTTAGGATGTATTCTATTTCATTCCTGTGTTTTACACTTTCTTTTGCTCCATAAACAGACCAAAGTTTATTAGACTGAAGACTCTGCTGTCTAATCAAGCAGTCAGCAGCACCGAAGCACCACAGGGGGCGGTACTCTCTCCATTCCTTTTTCCCCTCTATCACCTCTGACTCCCAGGACCAGACAGAGTCCTGCCATCTGCAGGAATACTGGGATGACTCTGCAGTCATTGGGAGAATCAATGATGGAGCAGAAGCTGAGCAC